ACAAAGCCTCGTAAAAGGAATTAATGGAGGAATCAAATTATTTATCTACTTGAGCATGTTATACTTACAATTTAGTCATACAAACAGACAGACAAAATACAAAAGACAGAGTAGTTATTTTACATAAATTTTGTACAATTTTGATCTTATTGTATGACTTAGTTATAAGCAAAATATTATTGTATCTACTTACAGCTGTTGATATTATGACTCACTGTCTTATTTGTTCTCATGTGAAATTATATGTCTTTAGAAAAATTATTTGGTAAATAATACAATTGTAAATAGGATTAAATTTTAAGAGTCCTCTTAGGAATTGAAATGAATTCTATTAGAATTAGAATATCTCATATCCAACCTATAAATATAAAGGTTAGAATCAATTCAAGGTTACGAAAGTATGAAAGAATGTGATAACATATGGCATTTGATGTAAGAGTTGTTAAACATCATGGAGAGAGGGTCATAGAAACTGAGATTATTTTCGCTCTAGGTACTAGGTTGAGCATGCTTAAAAACTATGATTGTTTCCGCTATATTAATTATACTGGGTTTATGATGTTGTATACTCTTGTATATTATATTCATAAAACTATAGTGAATTTTTTTCATCCATAGATGTAAAGGGGTTATGTAAATATCATATTTTTTTTGTATGATGTGATTTTAATTTTATATTATTGATCTGTAATGTATATTTTTAGTTGCTTGATCTCCTAACACCAACGCTATAGACAAAAAGCTTTTTACGTTCCTATTCAATTGTAGCTTTAGACTTTTGTGCATAAAGGTTGCCAATAGTAACAGCTTAATGAGTGAAGGGTGTTGATTAATCAATTTATGCCACATAAGTGAGCATGTGTTTCATTTTGAGTAGATTATATAGTTTTTCTTGATATATAAATTGATGATATGAAAAGAAAAGAAATCATATTTATAATAAAGACATCTAATAATACTGACTTAAATTAATTAATGTTTAATTCCCAGTGCAGAAATTAATTAAATTATTGCTGCTTTTTCTTTTTATAAGAGAACCATCATTGGTCTTGAATTTTTAATGCTTTTTTATCCATGATTGGCGTTCTTGTTCTGAATCAAGCGAACAATAAAAATGAGCCAAAGAATTGCACCCTTGCACCTGGACATCAACTTTTTCAAGAAAAAAAAAAGAAAAAAGAGAGAGATGCCAAGTATATCTCAATGTGAACATCCTAGCCACTACTGAGGTTCTGTACCTCATCTTCTTCATTAACATAAGAATCAGAAAGTGAATCTTTGGCTTCTTCCTCCATAGCTCCACAGGTACATGTTTCATTGTTCTTGTTTCAATTGTATGCTTTTAAGTACATGTTATGTTACATACATAACTATAAACCTCAAAGAAAAATAGACAACGAAAGAGAGAAGAAGAGCTATTGATTTTTCATTAACTAAAACAGTTACAATAAGCTCATGCTTTTATACTCAAGGCTGAGCTTAAGCAGAGACGAGTTGAAGAAGAAGATACAAACAACTTGAAGAAGAAGACTAAAATCAGACTTAGCTGTCGTTACAACCAATGTAAAGTACAAAGAGCAAAACGACACCGTACAAGATTAGTAAAAGCACAAATTACAAGAAGCTCCTCTACTATTCATTTTATTACTAACAATAACCATATATGTACACATGTGCAAATTAAAGACCACACATGCATATATAGATAATAAAAACGATAATAGCGAGGAATCAGATCATATTTAGGGAAGGAACTATAAGCTTATACGTAATTCAATTAATTGACCCATAATTCTCTTATATAGGTAGACGTCCTGATTTTTATAAAACCCAGATGAAGTTTGCTAAAATTTTGTAATTTATATATTATATAATTGAAATTTACTATTGATGATAATCTATTTGACTTGTCAACGGAAAGCAACTAGCTACTGGTTGTTGGCACAACCTTTTTTTTTTTTTCTTATTGATGAAGACCATCGAGGGATCTGGTAGATCCAACTCTTCTGTCCATAGAAAAAGAGTAAACGGCTTTTTCCTTGTGATATTTTTTTTAGAGATATATTTTTAAAATATTATTTTACTATCCAAATTAATATTTCATTTCTGATACCGGTATCATTGCGATCCCACATTACGATCATTCTCTTTCTCGATCATCATTCACTAAAACCTCTTAAACTCTACTCTCACTAACCCCATCAATCAGAGGTAATCAAGTGATTAGGGTTTGCGCAATTATCTCTCCCATGTCAAATTCCAATAAATCGTAACCACAAAAATCTAACATTTCACCATCAAAAGATTTATCAGCCTTCTCTCTTTAAAAGCCTTAACAACTTGGACCGATTTATTCTTTGTTCATTGTCGAAATATAAATTTAAGTAATAAAGTGATATTTTGAAAGTGTATGAGTGAAAAAATGTCATTAAACCATTATTTGAGTGGGAAAAAGTTGTTAAACTCATAGAAAAATGACTAAGGGCCACAAGACACAGAAATTTACTTGAATATCCATTTTCCAGAGCCTCGTAAAAGGAACTAATGGAGGAATCAAAGTTTCATTATTTATTCACTTACAAACACTATAGACAAAAAGCTTTTAAACGTTCCTTTTCAGTTGTAGCCTTTGGATAAAGGTTGGCAATAGTAATAGCTTAATGAGTGAAGGGAGTTGATTAATCAATTTACACCACATAAGAGAGCATGTGTTTTATTCTGAGTGGATGTGTAGTTTTGAGTTTCCTCCTGTGGTGTATATATATATATATATATATATTATATATATATATTATATATATATATATCTATATATATATATATATATATAGAGTTCCACGAGCTAATCATTCTCAAAAGTGATCATATTTATAATTAATTTGACAGATATGAGCTGTTGATGCACAGCTCACCAAAGATTTTCCAACTTGAGTTCATTTTCTTTTCATAAAACCTCAAGGAATAGTTATAGATTATATATTAATACATATAGAGTTAAGTGACAGGATCCATTTGCTACTGCAAATTGCCAAATTGTATATTTTAAGAGAGACAAATTGATTAGAAAATAAGATTTTAGCAGGACAGAATAAATAATTGCATATTAGGGAAGAAGATTGAAATACTATTTGGGGAATTTAAGGAACAACAAATATATCTAATAATATTGACACGAAAAATCACCGGTGGCCTCATAGTAAAAAAGTGATGAGTTCTCCCATCCATACACTAATAGGAGTGATCACTCTTAGGATTTACTTGACTTTAACTTTAGGTTTTAAAGGATTAGTTAAGATACACACAAACTTGTACGAGTACTATTTAAATTCATTAATGTTTAATTTCCAGTGGGGACATTAATTAAGTTAATGTTCTTAATCCACCATTGAAAGATATATCATATATGACATAAACAAAAGCTAGCGTGCTGCTTTTTCTTTTTATAAGATAAGAGAATCATCATTGCTCTTAATTTTTAATGCTTTTTTTTTATCCATGATTGGCGTTCTTGCTCTGAATCATGTGAACAATAAAAATGGCAACAAGAATTGCACCCTTGCATCTGGACATCAACTTTTTCTTAAAGAGAGACAGAGAGAGAGATTCCTAGTATATCTCAATGTTATCATCCTAGCCACTACCGAGGTTCTGTATCTCATCTTCTTCATTAACATAAGGCTGAGAATTTGAATATGTTTAAAGTACCTCAAAAGGCCAATCTGACAGCTGATATATGAATCTTTCGCTTGTTCCTCCATAGCTCCACAGGTACATCTTACATAGTTCTTGTTTCAATTGTATGCTTTTAAGTAAATTTTACATACACAAACATACATGTACATGTGCAAATTAAAGACCACACACATGCATAAGATAATCAAAACGGTAACAACGAGGGATCAGGTCGTATTAGGGGAAGGAACTATAAGCTTTTACAGATTACAGATTTACAGTATACAATTAATTGACCCATAAATTCTCTTATACATGTAGTTGTCCTGATTTCTATAAAACCAAGATGAAGTTTGCTATATGAAAATTATATATATAATTATAATTGAAATTTACTATTTATATATATAATTGAAATTTACTATTGATGATAGTCTATTTGAGTTGTCAACGTAGAACAGCTAGCTAGCTGGTGGCTACTAGCACAACCTTTTCAATACTAAGTTTTGAAATCCCCTTATCTCATAGCATGATGTCTGTGGTTGATGAAACTATGAAACCTCAATTATTATTATTTATTTAAAAAAATCTATACAATATCTTCTTCATCCAACTCTATCCTCAAACTCCATCTACATGATCCGTGTTTGACCTGGTATATATACATATATCATCTAGCATTAATTTTAATTGATAATGATAGGACTACAAGCCGCATAACAACAAAAAAATATGTCCTTTGACAAGAAAACGATAATGGTTCTTGTTGGAACACAAAAAAACGAATAGAAGAACAGGTAAAACAAACGTATCAATCACCATGGATTTATTCATGAACCTCAAGCTTATGATATGGGAAGGTGAACAAGAAGACATTGAAGATATATAATGAAGGAAGATCGAGTTATATTTGCGTACCTCTTGATCAAATCTTAACCACGTAATATACATTCCTTTAAGATCTGTAAAAGGTTGGGAAAGTTTCAGAAATAAAGAGAGGATGAAGAAGACATACAAAGACTGTGAGATAATATCAAGAAGTTGAAGAGTATCTTATCGGAGGATGGCGGCACTTGCAGCAGTTGTTTTAACACAAACAAAGGCAGGTGCCACCGCTCCTGCGACAAGATTCCCTCAACTCCTTTTAATTTCTTTCTTGCTTTCGCAAACCTCCATGCATGATGTTTTAGCTCTTCTTATTTCATCGTATTTCTATTTATTTGCCTCTCTCTCTCTCTCTCTCTCTCTCTCGGCTGCCTGCCTTTAATTTATGGCCCTTCGATGTTTGGTCAGGAAGCAATTGGGCATATAAATGCGAAAGTCGAGGACCAAGTGGAGAGTGGGTGCCAAAAATTAAAGCAAATAATGGGTGCTTACTCACGAGGCCATCTCTATTAACATTAATAATGAGGTATTAATTAATTAATTGTGTTGTTATTCAGCATGATTGTCAGTTCTTAAGTTTTTTAAAGTTGTTTTACTATACTTTTTCATAAATTTTCACACACAACCATAATGTAGTAGTTCGTAATTAGTCAGTTTATAATTAATTAGTAGGATCTATATAAGACTCATGTAGAATCTGTTATGAACGGATCAATTTTGAATTATCATATCAAGATTATGAGAAAAAATTTGTAAGAAATGATTATTGGTATAATATTATTCGTATCTATTTTATTATACACTCATCTCATTTGTTAGTGCTATTAGTTAATTTAACGGCATCTCGGCTTCTTTTCATTGTACTAATTGATGGGGAGTTAGTATTAATTAATGCATAGGCTAGCTGGTCCCTTTAAAAGGATAACCTTGTTAATTAATTTGAAGAATTAATACCAGCTCAAATTGGAGACTGCACAGGTAGATTTCAATTGGTGGTTTTTGATAAAAAGATGGAGATAGGAACTAGTGGCCCAACTCTTCGGCTATGACAGGAAGCAACCCATTAAAACCTCACAATTTGTCTGTCTTCTTGTAATCATTCTCCGATTCTGATATGCTTTGTTTTTGCCCAGAAATATATGGAGATTTGTGCTTGTCTGTCCCCAAGTGTGTTAAAAGAGAGAGAGAGAGAGAAATGATGGCTTACTATAAAATTGGAGGCAGCAGGAATATGCATGATTATTACTCAGAAATTTGAGTTTTCTATGATACTGCTACCAAAATCAAAATTGTGGGCCTTATATAGATATATAACATTATTTGCTTATATATATGTTATGTTCATTGCATACTATAGTACATTTTCCCTTTCAACTGAAAAGTAAGTTGGATGCCGGACAGTTCATTGAACTGGAGAAATTAAGATGCATGAATGAATGACATAAGCAGTTGTTATTGACGCACAAGGGTTAGTTAACCCAAATAGGTTCACTTGCTTTGTTCAACTTTTGCTAAAGTAGAATTAAACAATTCCTAATGAAAAGGATAATTTGAGCTGATTGATAGGATAAATTATTATTCTTGAATTAACCAAAACAAACATTGAAGATGTGATATCTTATCAGTTAATTCTTGCTTGTCTCCTGCAGGCCATGGCTACCATGAAAGTCATCTTCCATCAATCTTCTTCGGAATTTCTTCCAAATTTCTTCTCTTTCATGCACTCATCAAAGTTGTATTGATTAAGAAAAGAGAACTAGTGGATCATCCAATTTCGACGTAATTCATTGGAACCAGATTTTCTAATGCGTTTTCCACACAAAAAGGTTTCTTTTTCTCTGTCTTCCCTTCTTTTTTCACCTCAGGTTTTAGTCATGATGAGATGCTTTAATTTCTCATTGCTGTTTCAGCAGAAATTTCTGCTAAAATTGACAATTCATTAGTATAGCTTGTTTTGTATAGCAAACCAAAACCTGATATGATTGAATGCTAGACAATCGGCTCCTTTTGAGTTATGAATTGATTAAGAAACTACAACAGAAAACATCTCAGGAATTAGTTAATTAAAACAACATTAAACATATACACTGCTGTTGTTAATTCCTTCAGGGGTCAGATACATTGTTTAATAAATTATATTTGGCCATTATTATATATGTGGTTAATAATCAAAGCCCTTTCGAAAATGATAACTTTAAGTTGTATATTAATTGAACTGATATTGTGCTGTTGTGGTATACATGCTTCATCTCATAAAAGAGAGCTCTAGTTCGAATCAACTTTAAAGATACAATTAGCAAGAGCAATAGGCCTATACTGAGAAACAGTATCTGCATCATGACTTTTTGGAATTAGAGTGATCAAATTCGAATTGGCCCCAGGATGTAACCAAGAATCCACAAAAAATTGATCAACAACATCCCAGAAGGATTTAAAAAACAATCTTGGAAAGCCATCTAGACCAGGAGCACTATCAGGATCCATATTAAACACTGTAGATTTAATCTCACCGGCTGTGAGAATGGCTGTGAGGCAAGTATTTTCTATGTCTGAAACCAAATGTGGAATAACTGAGAACAAAACATTAGAATCTTGAGTTGAATTGGTATCATTGGTATCATTGAAGAGGTCCTTATAGAAAACCAAATGTGGAATAACTGAGAACAAAACATTAGAATTTGAGTTGAATTGGTGTCATTGAAGAGGTCCTTATAGAAACTCACAATATGATCAGAAACGACTCAAGAATCTTCCACAAGATGGCCATTAATATTACGGAGACAAGAGATGTGAGATTTCGCTGCTCTAACCTTTCTGATATAAATTAACCAAATAAAAAAACTTCCGGATAATCAAGAGATAAGAACATAAAAACATAAAAACATAACCTAATTAACAAATTGAGCATATTAATATTAGCTTGTTTTCAACCATGGAATGAAATTTAATTTAAGGGATAGCAGGACTATATATTTGATCATATGTAGAATCACCTCTCCTATATGTATGTGACAGTAGTCTTTTTCAGTGATTTCCCTTTCGTTGCTCTTAATCTATTATATTTTCAGTATGTAATAATTAATTCATATAGGTAGATTGAAAGCATTGATTTGTATATGGATCTTATCTTAACCCTTACACAATAATAAAAGAATGGATGGAGGTCTGGTTATAGAACTCCTATAATTAAACCAGAAAAATAGAGATGACTTATAGGAGAGACAAGCTGCATATTCGTGTTAATTAATTGGTTCACTTGCATGCAAAAACCTTAAAACAAGACTTATATATTCAATATCCTTATAAATATATAAGTTAATTGCAATGAAATCACAGCTGGAATGAATATTTTTATCTATATAACTATGCCATAAACGTCAGTGGTCCAACTTCATCATCCTTTGATGTCATTCATACGAAAGAAATGAAATTTAAAATCTTTGGTTGCATATATATACACCTGCACCACAAGTAATCATATTATATATTGCTGAAAAGAGAGAAAAATAAAAGATTAATTTATAAATAGGGCTTATATATAGTTCAATTAATAATATGTATATAGTCCTGAAAAAGGGTTAGGGTTTTGTGCATTCTGAGTTTGCACTCTCTTGTAGAGTCTTAATTCTTTGGTTCATTGAAGGTTTCCATGTTCCCAAAAAATGAAGAAGTAAACTGCAAAACAATCAAAAGTCTAATAACCTTGATGAAAATTAGGAAAGCTGAATTGACAGAGAAATTGTGCACAAATACCTTTGGTTAATGCGATAGAAATAATTTTTCTTCTTTTTTGTTGGTTCAGCAAAAGTTGGAGGGTCTCAGCTCGCAGAGGGATGGAACCAACTGGGTTCGTAACTCAACCATAGTTGGTCCCATCTCCCCTGCGAGTAGAGGCCCCCAACTTCTTCATTAACCCTCAGCTCTCTCTTCTCCATTGCTCGCCCTTCTTTATATGATATTAAGATAAATTTTTGGGCCATCAACAAGAGCTGCCGAGGTTACTATCACAGGGAGACGTCACAATTACTAGCTAAATCAATAGCCATAACCCATGAATAAACTACACTAAGCTAGCTTGCTAGTGCCGTCTCTCCTGCGACAGTAACCCCAAAAACTTCTGTATGAACTTGTGTATTGCTCATAAATTTGATGCGTATTTATAGAGGGTTAGCAACCAGGAAATGACTGAGAAATTGGTTAGTCTTTGTAGAGCTAGCCATGTTTGTTCCCATGTGTTCCATAAATTTGGTCTTTTTCAAGATTCAAACATACGAAACATTACAGTAAGTTACCTGGAACTTTTATATATATGTTTTCTTGAGAAAAAAAAATGGAAATATTTTCACTGTTTTAAGATTAGTAAGTCAATAAATAAAGGGAAAATACTTGAGGTTGGCATAGTTGGCCGGCCTGAGAAATTAAATTGAAAGGTATTGGTAATTAATTTTGTTGTACTTTGGGGGTTCCAAATGAATAGTTAATGCCATAACAAGCTGGGTACAGCTGCCGGTCTTGATTTTATTTTGGAGACAATTCAATGATCCAAATTTGCAACCTAGGTGGGACTGACTTAAGTTTGAGAGTGACAGCCATTAGGGTTAGGGGCTGCTCAATATATTAAGCTTGAAATTAATAATATTAATGCTCTACTACTGTAAATTATAATAAACAATTTGACAGGAAATATATATGTAATTATGAGTAATTTATAGTAACAGGTGTGAACATTGTGTGAACTGAAGCAGATTATAACTCATATTTCATGATTAATTAATGAAGCAAACTCAGTTCAGCTCTCACCTAACTTGTTTGATTCCAGATTCAACGAACATCTTAATTTATTAACTGTAGAATTCAAGGTTTGATCGAATCCTTATGGAAGGCTAGCGGTTTGACTCAGATACTGGTTGGTGGGCTCAATAGTCAGTAGTCCTAAGACTTGCAGAAAGCTACTGAAAATATTCAAGTTGTCCCGCATATCGGCTTTGAATTGTCTTCAATCCTTTCTTATTCAATCAATGGGTTAACACTCCATAAAATATTTTGTTTGGTAGGTGAGAGAGTTTACCCTAATTTTATAGAGTAAACAACTTTTTCCTACCCAAGGTTTGCCTTAATGACACTTTTCCATTTAAAAAGTTTCAAAACACTATTTTCCCACCCAAAGTTTACATTTCGTAAATACTTAAAATATATTTCATTTTCTCAAATGGTGTTCGACGAGTGACTAGAAATCAGAATAAGAGGTTTTTTGTAGAGTGGAGACCAATAGATCAAATAGTGGTAACTGATTGAATATTCGCCATCGGAATTAGCTGAAAATTAGCTAAGAGTAGGAAACTCTAACTTTTCGATGACTGGCAATCAGCAAGAAATCAAGTACCGAAGTGAGAAGAGTTTTGTATAGAGAAGACCAGAGGTTCAAATGGTGGTGGCAGAGAGAATTTTCGCGGTCGGAATCAACCAAAATCAGATTTGGATAGTAATGGAATATAAACGTTGGGTGTGAAAGTGATATTTTGAAACTTTTTGGGTGGAAAAGTGTTATTAAGGCAAACCTTGGGTGGGAAAAAGTCGTTTACTCAATTTTATAATGTGAGAGGTTCATCAAAGACTTGGTCAATGTCACATGCATTCAATTCAAACATTAATTTTAGCTACAACAAAGGGGCAAGTACTTGATCAATTATCAATTCCATGTCATGGGGCCATATATTGATTAATTTCGCCATCAAAGAACTCTCAAATTTTATTCTGAATTGTTTTTGGTCTGTATATTCAGTAGTTTTAGGACCATGTGATGTTGATCTATGACCAAATATAAGACCGTTTTATTTGCATTTTGGCATTGTTTTCGGCTAAGACCCATCAAATTGAGCCACGTAGTTAATAGTTGATTAATGACCTTAGTTTGTGGTACTATAAAAAAGTTGCCACGAATTTCTTCTTATTATAGATTATTCTCAATAGATTCTCTAATTATATTTGCTCTTTCTCTCACCTCTTTTACACCTACCTATGAGCAAGATCAACTCGAAAGTAAGGAACTCAATTATGATATTTAATTTCAGAGATCACAAAATAGAAAATGTATATCAAGATTAATAACATATAAATAAAGTCACATCAATAAAGAGCACGATATTTACGTACTTTGATATAATATGTCTACGTTCACGGGTGAGAAAAATTCACTATAGTTTCATGAACATGATATATAAAAGTACACAACACTATAATACACACTCAACCCAATACCTAAAGTGGAAAAAATTTTAATTTCTAATACACTCTATCCATGGTGTTTAATAAAACTTACATCAAAAACTTTGAAATCTCACATTCTCTCATCAATAAAGATTGGCTCACAACTCAATATTGCAAATTTTCACTCACAACCTCGATGTGGTAGCTCGCAATTGGATAGGCGAGATCCATTATAAACTAACCAATTACGATCTGTCATATCGGAGTTGTGAGAGAAAGTTTGTGAAATTGGATTGTAAGTGTATTATTGCCCTTCTCTCATAACATTGAATTGATTCTCACCCCTATATTTGCGGGTTGTATATAGGATATTTTATTTCTAATATAATTCATATATTAATTCTTAATAGGATACCTATAATTTTATTTCTATTTACAATTGTATAATTTATTAAATAGTTTTCCTCAAAAAAAAAAAAAAAAATCACAATATTCAATCATTCTTAATCTGTAATTAGGTAGGATATTTTGCATATTGATTATGGAAAAATCAAGAAAGGAAAATAAGAGGGAGATTATAAGATAATAAATTAGTGGTGAATTTGGAATTTTTCATCTTACTTTTTGGAGACGAAGACTTGGTGAATGCGATTTTATTTCATAGTACGGTAACTATTTTGTTGAATTATAAGATAAAACAAAATTAAACAAGTACTTGGAAATTCTCGTGATTATAACTCAAACCCACCTTAATTTGTGTTAATAGTTCTAGTTAAACTGACAGTTTTTCTTCCAGAAACCAGCATGAAATTTCCAGAAGTGTACTTTACAACGATCAACATTGAAAGTCGAATCGACCTAGAATAAGTTGTAAATATAGAATAAAGCTACAAAAATATAATTAAAAATGCGTGGAATTGACTATAAAATTGTGCTCTTATTCGTAAATCCATTATAGTCATGATGACATGGACTCTGCACAAACTGACAGATTAAGGAATGTTCCATGAAACTTAATATGTATAAACCTATGTTTGCCAGCTAACCTTCTGAAGAAATTTGCTGTGAAATTGTATTAAATAATACTTTTCTAGACGGTGATTAACCACTTCTTTGATTATCTTCTTAATTATTGTTTAAGGAATGTTGAAGAAGTATGTTTAATGTGATTATTATATTAAATTCAATGGAGAAATTGTATAAAGAATTTGTTTACTTGGTTTATATATAACACCACTTATAAAATATATTGTTTTTTGTTCAATGCAAATGAAATAATTAATTGATCGATGGAGTTAAATTATCAAACTGTTATATATACACATATATGCTTTGTAGAGAGAATATGTATGCGTATTTGTGTATTTTATTTCATTGTTTTCTTTGAAAGATGGGGGTTCCAATCAATGAAAGGGTGTAATTAATAATTTGGAAATTGTAACCGATTATCAGAAGGTATTTATATATATTTCATTGTTTTCTTTGAAAAATGAGTGTTCAAACTTTGGATGTATTTATAGGCAAAATGAGAAGCTCGTTATATGTATTTTTGTATGGATGAATGTATTTGAGAAGTATTTCATGCATGTATTTCAATGTGTTTCATAATTCAAAAGGTCTTTTTTTATGATGAGAAAACTGCAGCAAGTTACCAAACTGTTATATATATACATATATGTTTTGTAGAGAGAATATATATGATTATTAATTGCATGTAGACCTAATTGGGGCCATAAAATTTTCACCATCTAAGAACTTGCAAGTTTTATTATAATGTGTGTTTTAGTGAATATTAAACCCCACTTCTATATAATTAAACTTGTTAGAAGTCATATTTGTCTTACATCACTAATTTAGTGGGCTATTATAGTATATATATATGTAGTTTGGTTCCTTTCTTCCTTAAGCTAGTTTTTGAGTTTGAGTTCTACCCAAACCAGTTTATTATGGTATCAGAGCCACCTTTGTTAGACCTTTACATGAAATTACTAATGACTAGAGAAACTAAAGAAATTTACATGAAATTTTGACGCGATGGTGGGTCCTAATGGGTTTGGACCCTTGTATGAAATTAATAATGACTAGAGAAACCTGCATGAAATTTTGAGACGATGATGGGTCTTGGTGGGTATGGACCAACCCCTGCATGAAGTTACAAATGACCAGAGAAACCTCATAAATTTTGAGGATAATATAATGAAAGAACCTTCAAACCAAGTCAATTACATCAAAACTAATAATTAGTCCTAGTGGGTTTGGACACCAGTGTCATCAAACCTAATAATTAGAGAAACCTGCATGAAATTTCAAGGATGATACGAAGAAAGAACATTCAAACCAAGTATATATACATATATATTAAAGCATTTTCAATTGTAACCCCACCGCAGAAATTATCCACAAGCAGGAAGCAAAGCAGCCACTTTTTTCATACTTTGTTGCTAGCTAGCTAGCACCAAAGTATTAGGTGCAAAATTGAAGAGACATTTCATGTTTCAATTTCACAAATGCTGACGTGTTTGTGTTATAACTTTTGGTGTAAAAAATTATTAATTATTCCCCTTTTAGGACAAGACATCTACATCAATTTTTCACATTCACTGTACTCTTAAGTCAATGAACGACTTTAATTATTCACAAGCTAACCACACAAGGAATGTTCAATGAATTTACTGAACAATTATTTTCTGATTAAGGAGGTGTTTATCTGAGTTTATAAAAATTAATTTATAAACAACAAATACTTTTTAGATTATAAGTATTTAAAATTTTAAGTAATTACGTGTTTGGTTAAAGTACTTATAAGTGACTGATAGGTAGTTGGCGTGTTTGGTAAAATGTGGCTTATAGGTATATTTTATTATAAAATAACTAAAAAAGGTATTACATTAAACAAGAGTATACTATGAAATTTTAAAATTAAACAAGGATAATGTGATAATATACTTTGTCAAACTAGCTTATAAGCAGAGTGCTTATAAACCAAAAAAAAAAAAAGTATCTCTCCCCAACTTATTATTATTATTATTATTATTATTTTTGCTTATAAGCTCAAAAAAATTATAAACAAACATGTCAGCTTAATTTTAGAACTTATAAGTAAGTTTGACCAGCTTATAAGCTTAGACAAACACCCCCTAATTAGTACTTTTCAAAGCATATAATATTCGGTTTTCTTTCATTTATTGGACCTAAAGTTGGGCCTGGTGGATCAGATTTGGTTAGCCCAATATTTGCCAACATAACACAACCATAAAAAACAACCGTTTATGTTCTCAGCCAGGCCCATATCTTATTGGCCTTTTGAATAGTTGTTACATAAAATGTTTTTGGGCATCCAGTCTCGAATTTGATTTGGTCACTTGGTAATTTGTTGCAGGTTAAACATTCCATATGAAATAGACATGTTCAGTCAATCTGTAAGCTTTCAATCCTCTAAATAAGGAGAAGGTTTTGGGAGATATTTATGTGAATTCAAAAGATAAATCTATGTAGGGTAAGGCCAAAACGAACAATATCTAATTTATTGGACTACTATTAAGAGATCCAATCTAAGTCATCATCTATTTATCAAACAAATCCGTTATCCTAATGGCAAAGCCTGATTCAACTGTTAGCTCTTTCTCTTATTCTTCTGCTTCTTTCTCAGCTTGCAACTTTGCTTCTTCTTTTGTCTCTTCCAGGGCCTGGATTAAGCTTCTCAGGGTAAAATCCACATCAGGTGGAACTGTTTTTGGCATCAAATGCTCTACAACATCCGCTGGGCAACAATTCACAAATTGGCTGCTTCTTGTCTCTCTTTCTTCTTTTCCAAGTTTCTGTCTCGGATCCTTCTCGTTATTATTTCCTCCTTTCTCTTTTTTCTTCCTCCTTTGACCTGTAAGATCAAGCGAACAATCGATGTCTTCAATGACAACAATCAATTTTCTAGATGTTTCAATCAATAGCTTTCTCAGTTCAGTATTGTCTTTGACAGCAGTGAGCTGAAGATCATACAAATCGTAGCCTAAAAGACTGGCCATGGCAACAATCATAGTAGACTTACCAGTCCCTGGAGGGCCATATAACAGGTACCCTCTTTTCCAGACTCTCCCCAATTCTTGCATAGAAGTCTAGTTAGTTGGTAAGGAATCGCAAAGAATGAGCTGAAGAAACAGAGGTGAGTTTGAGAAGAAGACTGATTTTTCTTATTACTAAAAACCGTGACTGTTACACATTTATAATACAAAGGAGATACAAAGGAAGGGTAAAATAGTAACTTCTAAAGCTTAACTATTTTAACAGCTAACTGAGTCAACTGAGTCAACTATTCTTAATATCCTAATATCTCCCCTTAAACAAAACCTCTACGACTACTTGTCATTACTCCCAGTAATGCATGTTACCAACTATTCTAACAAGTCTTCAGCCTTGCTGAATGTTATCAAGTCTTCAATAATTTGGTTCTTCTTCTCGGGTTCCATGGCGAGTGTCTGGAATGTTGCCGGGTTCTCAAAGTCTCGAACACCACATTGAACCATTGTTAGTATAAAGCTTTCGCATCCAGTTCCTCAGCTTGATTGCCTTGCCTTCTTTCAGGACATTAACAAGATAAGGCTTAAATAACAACACTTGGTATCACATAGCAGAATCTGATGTGAAACTGACTAAAGGTTTGTTTTGTCTGCTAGTCCTCAGTTGGCTACTCAGGGACGGTGTTCCAACCGTGTGTGTCCTAAGCAAAGTATTTTTGAAAATTTTCAATTGTAGCACTGATGTTAGGGTCCTTTTAGTTAAATTAGAAATAAAATATTGGTTAGCTCACAGAACTAAACAATTATACAACCAAGATAGATAACAAGATGCCGCATACATGAGATTTGACTTGTGTTAAGAAACAACTTGACCCAAAAACTTAAACTATTAAATAAATTTTAACATATACATATACTGATGGTTACTTATTGTTAAGTGTGCCACAAAAATGATGAAGAACATCGACGGATTCTGGCAGATCCAACTCTTCTGTCCATAGAAAAATGTCGAAAGGCCACATGACACAAATGTTTTAACTTTGAAAACATGCATGTGAAAATCCGTTTGCATGCCATATAACATCATAACCCTAATATGATAATTAATAATCACCATATGATATTTCCGGTTGCAATGGAACCACATACCAAGATTGTATAAACCAAAGACAATCACTATCGGTACGCAAGGACCTAAGTCATACCTCTCACGTGTCAGTCCCAAATACAGACAAGTAGCTACACCACTCACAGTCTATCCTCAAGGTGGTACCAACCACAGTCTACCTCGGGATGGTATAATTACCATTGGATAATCATACTCAACCCACAGTCTATCATCGGGGTGTCATGATACAGTATTAAACAAATCCCGCCCACAGTTCACCCTCGAGGCATCTAAAATATCATAGCGGCCAATACTCGCTTGGTGTAATCCCGCCTGGAGCTTGTTGGTGCTCATCCTATCTCGGTAAGATATCGTAATCGTTCGATAGAATGAATCATCTCAATACGTGCATAAGGATAAATATAAAATGCTAGCTAATGTCTGGAGGGAGACGAATACTACAAAAGGTGGTCTCCAATCTGATGGATAAAACACATCATCAGACATTGCATCCGAGTATCCAATACATCATGAATTATGCATGCTCGTTTGCAGATACATATAAAAAAATAATATCAATAAACTACTTGTTCTCCTTGGAAACTGGCATGCAAAAATATGTGTGCAACGCTTGAAACATTGTAATCAATAATCATATAAAATATCTATTTATCCCACCTTTCTAAGGGTTCCAGCAAGGCGAATAAAAAAGACTTTTTTTTTCTTTTTTCCCCCTTTTTCTTTAGAAAGCATGAAAATTGGCACATCCAATTCAGCATTTTTAACAAATATTAACTTTCTTTCTTCACAATGCATTTTGGCTTATAAATCAACAATACATATAACCTATTTCCAGCACTTATGCAAGACTCAATTTAACCGTAAATGCCAAGTTCAACACAAGTCCTCCCACTCAATAAAATGCCATTTCCAGCAAACAAAATCGTCACCAACGTTCCTCAATTTAACCCAGCCAAAAGCATTCACAAAGTCGTCATTTAGCAAAGCATTATACTCCAAAAAATTTCCCAGCAATAAATCACAACCCAACACTCTTCAAGCCACTCAGCCGAAGCAAAATAAGTACAAATTAGTTATGCATCAGCTTAACTAAAAATCCCAGCCACAATTCTTACAATAAACACTTCCAACATCATTCAATTCATGTAAAAGCCATACCTAATTATAAGTAGCATGCAACGCATAAGTACCTCCAATAAACTAAAGGACTAAAATAAAACCTCAATCAATCGGGTATGCACACGCATATGATCATTCCAACCAACACATGATTTAAAATGCAAGTTTAATAATATTCTACTCACCCACAAAACCTTCTCCTTCCCTTGATCAAATTAAGGCTCCGGTTCCTTCCCTCCTTCACCTAATGTTTCCAATTTTAGCCAATGATTAAGAAATTCCCAAGGAAAGGAAAAGAAACTGAAAATGGAACCATGATTTGGATGCTTACCTTTATCCCACCGAAATCACCAAAAAATTCACTAAACTTCCACTCCCTCTCTTATTTCTCCTTCTCGGCATTCTCTCAAGTCTCTCTTGAATTTGCTGCTTCTTTCATTTTGTTGCAAAAATGAACTAAAATGGGTTTATACGGTGGCCTTGAGATGTCACAAATCAACCCCTGGAAAACTGTATGCACCCCTATTTGGTAAAGGACACAAGTCCTTCAACTTTGAAACCTTTTAACAGCCCCCTTAAAATACTACTTGTTCATTTGCCTCCAAGTCCTTTTGGTAAATTTCTGGTCCTCCAGTCCTTATTTCCTTTCCAAAGCACCCCTGAAAGTTTTCAATTTCTTACAAATTACCCCAAAAATAAACTTTAATAAAATCCCATAAAAAAGGGGGTATTACAACAAATGGTTAAATAGACGTGTAGAAATTATAAAATTTACTTGAATATCCATTGCACAAAGCCTCGTACAAGGAACTAAGGGAGGAATCGAATTATTTATCCACTTGAGTAATATTATACTTACAACTTAGTCATATAAACAGACAAAAAATAAAGGACAGAGTAATCATTTTATATAAATTTTGTACAATTTTGATCTTGTTGTGTGATTTAGTTGTAAGCAAAATATTATTGTATCTACTTACAATTGTTGATATTGTGGCTCGCTGTCTTATCTATTCCCTTGTGAAATTGTATATTTTTAGGAAAACTATTTGGTAAATAATACAATTGTAAATAAGAATAAATTTTAGGAGTTTTATTAGGAATTGAAATATGAATTCTATTAGAATTAGAATATCTCATATCCAACCTATAAATATAAGGGTGAAAACCAATTTAAGGTTATAAGAGTGTGAGAGAATGTATATCATATTTATGAAACTATAGTGGATATTTGTTATCTGTGGATGTAAGCGGGTTATACAAAATCATATAAATATCATATCTTTTTATATGATGTAATTTTAATTTTTTTTTTTCGGATAAGTAAGTAGTATCATTAAAAGAGAATAAGAATATAGAGACCATAAAAAACCGACTATCCTACCTCAGGACAAGCCCTAGGACATGAATAAAAACACAAGCTTAATAGATTGAGAACATAATCTTTTTTTTCTTGTCTATCTTAGCGAAATATAGGAGACAAGAGGAGAGGAGCAAGTAAACGAACACAAAGACAAAGACATCCTACCATAGGACATGTCCTAGGATAGGATTAAAAAAAAAAAAAAAAACCACCCCTAAACAATACTAAAAACAACTATACACAACATCATTCCTTGCCTTAGGTTAGAAAACTCATGTTCGTCACATATTGGTTCTGAAAATAGTCATAGGTGGTCCCCAAATTTTCGCAAGTCTTCTATTGGCCATGGCAGATAGTCATACTAAGTTTTGAAATCCTCTTATCTCATACCATGATGTCATATGGTTGATGAAATTATGAAACCTCAATTATTATTTATTTGTTTGTTTAAAAAATCTATACAATATCTTCTTCATCCAACTCTTAAGTTTTAAAAAAAAATCCATACGATTGTCAGTTCATAAGTTTTTCAAAGTCGGTAATACCAGCTCAAATTGGCAAATTTCTAATGCGTTTTCCACACAAAAAGGATATTTTTTTTTTTTTTTTTTTTTCTCTATCTTCCCATCTTTTTTCACCTCAGGTTTTAGTCAAGATGAGATGCTTTAATTTCTCATGAAGTTTCAGCAGAAATTTCTGCTAAACTTGACTATTCATTATATGATTGAATTGATTAAGACACTACAACAGAAAACATCTCAGGAATTAGTTAATTAAAACAATATTAAACGTATATACTACTGTTATTAATTCCTTCAGGGGTCAGATACATTGTCTATTAAATCATATTTGGTTGGCCACAATTATATATGTGGTTAATTTTTATAGTAATTGAACTGATATTGTGCAGTTGTGTTATACATGCTTCGTCTCATATAAGCAAACTTTTTCAGTGATATCAACTTTTCTGATATAAATTAACCAAATAAACAAAGTTCTGGATAATCAGGAGATAAAAACATTAAAACAGAAGCTATTTAACAAATTGAACATATGAATATTAGCTTGTCGACCATGCTTATGCTGAAAGATATTTAATTTGAGAGATAGCAGGACTATATATTTAATCAAATGTAGAATCACCTCTCCTATATGTAGAAGACAGTAGACTTTTTCAGTGATTTCTCTTTCTTTGCTCTTAATCTGTTATATTTTCTCCATTTAATAATTAATTCATATAGGTAGAACTAAAAAATTGATCTGTATATGGATCTTATCCTAACCCTAGGATGAATATTTTTATCTATATAACTATGCCATAAACGTCAGTTGTCCAATTTCATCATCCTTTCATGTCATTCGGACGAAAGAAATCAAACTTAAAACTACATCCCAAGTAATCATATTATATATTGCTGAAAAGAGAGAAAAATAAAAGATTAGTTTATAATCTACATCATCTTCTTGCAATATTAGGTTTTTATTGATAGGGTTTATATATAGTTCAATTAATAATAGGCATACAGTCCTAAAAAAGGGTCAAGGGTTTTGTGTATTCTGAGTTTGCACTCTCTTGTAGAGTCTTAATTCTTTGGTTCATTGAAGGGTTCCACGTTCCCAAAAAATGAAGAAATAAACTGCAAAACAATCAAAAGTGTAATAACTTTGATGAAAATTAGGAAAGCTATAGCTGAAATTGAAAAAGAAATTGTGCACAAATACCTTGATTAATTTGATAGAAATGATTTTTCTTCTTTTTTGTTGGTTCACCAAAAGTTGGAGGGTCTCAGCTTGCAGAAGGATGGAACGAACTGGGTTCGTAACTCAACCACAGTTACGAACCCAGTTGGTGCGATCTCTTCTGCAACTAGAGGCCCCCAACTTCTTCATTAACCCTCAGCTCTCTCTTCTCTATTTCTTCGCCTTTCTTTATATGATATCAAGATAAATTTCTGGGCCACGAACAAAAGTTGCTGAGGTCACTGTCACAGAGAGACGTCACAATTACTAGCTTAATCAATAGCCATAACTCATGAATAAACTACACTAAGCCAGCTTGCTGGTGCCATCTCTCCTGTGACAGTGACCCCAAAAGCTTTTGTATGAACTTGTGTATGGCTTTGCATACATTTGAAGCGTATTTATAGAGGGTCGCCTCAGATTTTTTTATGAAATTTAAGAACCACGAAATGACTGAGAAATTAGTAAGTCTTTGTAGAGGTAGCCATGTTTGTTTCCATGTGTTCCACAAATTAGGTCTCTTTCAAGATTCAAACATACGAACCTTACAGTAACTTACCTGGAACTTTTATATATATGTTTTCTGTGAAAAAAATGGAAATATTTTCACTGTTTTAAGATTAGTAAGTCAATAAATAATAGGAAAAGTACTTGGAGGTTGGAGTAGTTGGCCGGCCTGAGAAATTAAATTGAAAAGTAATTGTAATTTTGTTATACGTTGGGGGTTCCAATGAATGTTTGTCTCCAGATGACAAACCTGCCAAATTAATGCCATAACGAGCTGGGTACCATTCTTTGATTTTGTTTTGGAGACAATTCAATGAACCAAATTTGCAACCTAGGTGGTACTGAATTAAGTTTGAGGGTGACAACCATTAGGGTTAGGGGCTGCTCAATATATTAAGCTCCACTACTATAAATGTAGAAAAAAGTGGCTTAAATAGTGAAAGGTTGTGTTCACATGTTTTTGGTCTATGGCCGATAAATTGAACATTTTTTGTCTCACATTCACACATGTTTAAAGACTTAAAATTATACTTCTCCATGTCTCTCAAATAAAATCAACATTCTCAAGCTAAGATTGCGGCTATAAGTCTTTGCAAATCCCTTATTTTGCCTTATATATTTTGACATAAAAAGGATTTCCTCCACTATAAATATGGGTGCATTTTGGGGGGAAGATTATCACATACATTCTCAAGCAATACAAACATTAGAGACAGAGAGCTTGAGTTTAGGGGTGTTCAAAAGCAGTTAACCAAACTGATTAACTGTTTTCTTGAATCAAACTGGTTTTTCGGTTCAAGAAAATTCCTGAACTGAAACCAAACCAGTTTAGAGTAAAACTGGTTTTGAACTGGTTTTCCTTTTAAATTGGATTAAACTTAATTTTTTTTTTTAAATTTTCCTGAATTAAATTGTAAACATGAACAATACATATCCAAATAAAAATTAAACATTCATACATATTCATTGACCACAACTAACAATACATTAAAAATTGATATAAATAAATTTAATTTTTATTTTAATATATAATATCTATTAAGATTTTTTATTTTAATTTAATATATATATATATTAGTAAATCCATTAGTAAAACCAGTTTCAGTTAACCAATTTGCGTTTTCACCCATACTGAGAACCAAACCTAAAATCTAGTTTTTTGAATTATTTGAACCGTAACCGAACCGGTTTTTCGGTTCGGTTTTTGCATTTTTTTGAATACCCTTACTTGAGTTAGAGAGATTAGAGTATGTGAGAGTGTGAGAGATATTGGGTGTACTTGGGATTTGGGATTGAGAGTTTTACCAAATGTTGTATACTCTATTTTGTTAGTGAAATTCTTCTTTTATCTTCGCCAGTGGACGTAGGCTAAAAAGCCAAACCACATAATTATCGTATGTATTGTGTGTTATTATTTTTCCCTATTTTTCCTTGCCGTTAACTTTATCCATGGGGTTGGGTCTATCACAACAGTAAATTATAGTGAACAATTTGATAGGAAATATATATGTATCTACAAGTAATATATAGTAATAGGTGTCAACATTGTGTGAAACTAAAGTAGATAATTATGACTCATATTTCATGATTAACTAATGAAGCAAACTCAGTTCAGCTCTCACCTAAACTTGTTTGTGCTATAATTGTGATGAACGCTTTCAACATGGGCATCGTTGCAAGGCCAAGTTCTTTCTCTTGTTAATGGAGGATAATGATGATGAGCGCAAGGATGAACCAGGATAACTGTTGTTGATGGTGTCGTACCTTACAACCTTGAGGAAAGGTTGAGCCGGAGGGGAAGACAATGTTAGGATTATTTTAGAATTAAGATAAAATTAAAATAATTAGGTTAAATCATTTTATAATTATGTTATTATCTAATTAAAATATCTTTTGAATTAAGCAATTAGATTTGAATTAGACAATTATAGTCCTTTTACAATTAGAATAATGCATAAGGCTATATAAAACCTTAAGTAATTAGGGTTTGGCAAGCTATAATCAATAAAATTTTCTTCCCTTAACTATGAATTATCATTTTTCTTGGAGGTTTTATTTCCTCGTATAAAACATAAACACTATCCTAACACAATCCTTCATAAAATATTTTGTTTGGCAGGTGAGAGAGTTTACCCTAATTTTATAAGGCAGTATGTTAAAACTTTAATTCTTTGCTCATAGATTTTGTCATTTTGATTAATAAATTAAAAAAGAAAAGTATTCCAATATGGAAGGTCCACCACGCAATTGATCAATGGCACAATCACATGCATTCCATTCAACATTAGTTTCCGGCTAAGTCCCATCAATTTGATTTATTATCAATTCCATGTCATGCCTTTGTTGATCTATGGCCAAATTTAAGACCCTTTTATTTGCATTATGGCATTGTTTTAGGCTAAGTCCCATCAATTGGAGCCACGTAGTTAATAGTTGATTTAATGACAGAAGTTGCCACGAGTTTCTTCAATTATAATTGCTCTTTCTTCTTGATGATTACTAACCTGTAATTAGGTAGGATATTTGCATATTAATAACGGAAAAATTAAGAAAGGAAGATACGACGGAGATTATAAGATAAAACAATATTAAACAAGTACTTGGAAATTATCCTGATTATAACTCAAACTAACCTTAATTTGCGTTAGTAGTTCTAATTAAGCCAACAGTTTTTCTTCCAGAAACCTGCATGAAATTTCCGGGAGTGAACTAATTATTCGTATGTGATTTCGGTTGGGTGTGTCTTACTATTATCCATTTTTGTGTATATATATATAATGCTAGCACTAAAGGTGGGAAAAAAGCCCGGCCTCAAAACTCGGTCCCAGGATCGAATCAAGCCTAGGCGGTCCCTCCTCTAGGGTTCGGGCTTGGGAACAGTCTTAGGCTCGGGCCGTTAATTTTTAAAGCCCCCACTCAATTACATAAACGGATAAACCTCTTGACAAATATCTAAAACCCTCTATAATATGTAATATATATAATAAATTTAGGGATTAAAAATAATTTTACAAAAACATTAAAAGAAAAAAAAATTCTACGCCCATAGGGCCCATGACCGGTCCAGGCCATAAGAAAACTCATGAACCTAAAGGGTGTTTGTCTAACCTTATGAAAATTAGCTTATTAGGTGCAAAATTGAATAGGCATTTTATGTTTCAATTTCAAAAATACTCACATGTTTGTGTTCTAACTTTTGGTGTCAAAAAATTATTTATTAATTAATTAATTCCCCTTCTAGGCAGGACATCTACATCAATATTTCACATTCATTGTACACTTCAGTCAACGAATGACTTTGATTATTCACAAGCTAACAGAGTAGGGGAAGGTTCAATGAACTTATGGATAAAATATTTTCTCCAAAATTGGGCCTGCTGGATCAGATTGGTTAGCCCAATATTAGCCCACACAACCATAAAAATCAACCTTTTATGTTCTCAGCCAGGCCCATATCTTCTTGGCCTTTTGAATAATTGTTACATAATAATGGTTTTGGGCATCCAGTTTCAAATTTGATTTAGTCACTTGATAATTTGTTGCTGGTTAAACATTCCATATGAAAATAGATATGTTCATTCAATCTATAAGCTTTCAATCCTTTAAATAAGGAGAAGGTTTTGGGAGACATTTTTGTGAATTCCGAAGATAAATTTGTGTAGGTTAAGGCCAAAATGATCAATATCTAATTTATTGAACTGAACTATTATAACAAATACCAGAACGAACTTAGAGATCGAATCTACGTTATTATCCATTTTCGAATCCTTTATCCTAATAGCATCTAGCCTGTCAAGAAAAATCACATTAATCCAGAATTCATGTACACAATCTAATCAATAATTAGATTGTTCAATCAAAATCAGTGGAGATTGCACACTATTATCACTCTAGAGTAACAAAACTTGGTTCACCTGTTAGCTCTCTCTCTTTTTCTCTTGCTTCTTTCTCAGCTTTCAACTTTGCTTCCTCTTTTGCCTCTTCCAGGGCCTGGATTAAGCTTCTCAGGCTAAATCGTTATGTAACCGATAGCGTAGTGGGCCCTGTTTACTATCCGGCTGCTTCAGACAGGTATTCCCCCCGGTTAGATTGGTACTCTAGATATACACCTCATCATTGCCTCTATGTCAGCCAATCTTTTGTCAATATCTGCTTCATGGGTGAGGCGAAAGCTACTAGATTAGCCTAGTTGGTCGGTTGTGTAATGGATGCACAGTGGGCCTGTTTACTATCCGGCTGCTTCACACAAGCGTCCTTCACGACAAGTATCACTCCCCCCCCCCCCCCTCCTCCTCCTCCTCCCTCCTCCTCCTCCTCCTCCTCTATAAGGCTAGCCAATGGTACTTATGTGCTTCCCATTTGCCTGTAGCCCCCTAGGCATGAGTTCGAGCCATGGGAGAGGCGAAGAAATCCTTAGAGGGGGGGGGGGGGGGGGGGGAGACATAACTGTCGTGAAGGACTTGCGTGAAGCGGTCGGATAGCAGTAAGGCCCAGCATGCTATTCGTTACCCTAAAAAGGCACATTTTTATGTAACGGGTAGCATGGTAGGCCCCACTACTACCGGCTGCTTCACTCAAGCGTCCTTCACGGTAGTTATTGCCCCCCCCCCCCCCCTCTCTTAAGGGATTTCTTTGCTTCCCATGGCTCAAACCCATACCCAAGGGGCTATAGGTAAATTAAGAGAGCGGGGGGGAGGGGGACTACCTGCCATGAAGGACGCGTGCGTGAAGCGGCCGGGGTATCAGGTACAGGTTATGGTCGTTATAGGTTGGTCCTGTGATTCGCACTCGGTATGCTTTGTGGGTAAGTCATTGGGGTAGTTTGGCAAACCATTCTATCGTTGCCGTTTGTAACTCAAATCTCCATTCATCCCTCCGGTTAGTGGTTCCCATTGTGACTGATCAGTTGTTTGTCTAGCATGGATAGTGAGAGCGGTTTTTGAGTCGCTCGGTCCGTGGGTGTGGATGGACTCAAGCGGTGAGGTTTGAAGGTGAGGGAGCCTGTTTGACTTGCGAGGATGAGTCAAGCCGAGTGAGATTTGGGTAGGAATGGTTGATTGAAGATGAGACGGGATGGCAAGGAGATGGTGGCTCTGTTTGGTGGGTTTTTGTTACTTGGATGTCTTGATCTCATGTCTAAAGCGGGTCGATCAAGTGGCTCTACTGGCAGTCCCCGTAATTGGATTCAGGGCTGCATCGTCCACTACTGATGAACAGAGTTGTCGCGACCTTGTATTCGAGATCGTTGTCTGTGCTCTGGAATTTAGAGAGGCTACGTGGACAAAACTGATGCACGTAAACATGGGTTGTACCTGACAAGGTGAAGCTCAAGGTCATAAAATTGGCTTACCTTCTCTTTCAGAGATTGGTTTTCGGCCCTGATGGAGGTTTTCGATCCGGATGGTAGTGTTCTCAGCTTCCCGTGTTGCCACCTTGTCTGAGTGCTATTGCATAAGGCCAGTCAGAGCTTCCAGTCTAGCCTCGAGGACAAGATTAGTGTTATCAGAATTTTCAGCCATAAAGAGTTTCCTTAAGAAGCAAGGTTTGAAAGATGAATGATAGCCAGAGGCCTCACAGTGGGCGTCAAACTGTAGATACAAAAAATCAACTTCTACGAAAATATGGATTGATCCCGTGAGGTTGAGACTACTAGCAATCGCCTATACTACACACACAAGAAAACAAGCGTGAAGCGAACGAGAAAACACTAGGGTGGTGTTTGCCATAGGCACTTGACGCTCAAGTCAACAAGGCTGAGTGAGCCTAATTTAGTGAGGATTAGGAAGAGAAAGGTTACCAAAAGTCTAGTCGGAGACTATAACTACAGCTATGATGTGAATTCTCGAGAGTGGGAATTATGGGGTTGAAGGGGTAATCTATGTCCCTTGTGAGTGGGTTGGCCTCAGTTTAAATAGTGATTGTAGGATCCTCGATCCTAGTAGGACTGTGAGTCCTGTAGTTGAGGTTTTGTGAAAAAGGAGAACCTTTCGTTCCCTACCTTATGGGGAAAAGGAGGCCCAACAGGTCTAAGACACAGTTCTTAACGAATAAGGTAGTGATGGACCTCTTCGATAGAGTTCGAATAGTACCAGCGTAAGCAGGCAACCCGGGCTCCAAGTAGATCCTAGTCTAGAAGGTGTCTAGGATCAGAGGGCCTGGCCCAGATAAACTGGTGGTGAGGCCTAAACGAATCGGATCCTGTTGATTGGGTCCAATGGTGAGCAATGGGTAGGTAACGGACCTGATATGCAAACTTTGTTGTGGGCCCAATCAGGAATGGCCCGACTTCGAGTTTTGTTAAAGTGTCTTCGTCTTTGGGCCGAAATATTACAGAGAACAAGCGCTGCATACATGAGATTCCATGTACGTTAAGAAACAACTTGACCCAAAAACTTAAATATTAATAATTTTGGCATATATATATGGATGGATTACTTATTGTTAAGTGCCACAAATTGATGAAGACCATCGAAGGACTCTGGCAGATCCAACTCTGTGTCCATGAAAAAGAGTAAACAGCTTTTTCCCTCACAATAATAGTTTAATGATATTTTTTCACTACAGATTAAAATATTATTACTGTCCAAATAATATTTCATTTCTGATTCCGGCATCATTGCGACCCATACTATACCATTCTCTTCCGATCATCACTCACCAAAACTTCTCAAACCCTACTTTCACCAACCCTATCAATCATCGGTAATCAAGCGATTAGGGTTTAGTAACACCCCTCTCAAGTCAAATTCCAATAAATCCTAGCCACTAAAATCCAACATTCCACCATCAAAAGGTTTATCGGCCTCCTCTCTTTAAAAGCCTCAATAATTTAGACCGAATTTATTATTGTTCATCTTGGAATATAAATTTGAGTAATAAAGTTATATTTTAAAAGTCTATAGGCAAAAAAGTGTCTTTAAACTATTATTTGAGTGGAAAAAAGTTGTCAAACTCATAGAAAAAGACGAAGGGCCACAAGACACAAAAATTTACTTGAATATCCATTTCCCGGCCTCGTAAAGGAACTAATGGAGGAATCAAAGTTTCATATTTATCCACTTCAAACACTATAGACAAAAAGCTTTTAAACGTTCCTTTTCAGTTGTACTTTAGACTTTTGTGGATAAGGGTGGCAATAGTAATGCTTAATGAGTGAAGGGAGTTGATTAATCAATTTACACCACACAAAGAGCATGTGTTTTATTTTGAGTTTCCGAGTGTGTATATTATATAATATAATATATTATATATATATTATTTATATCCACGAGCTAATCATCCTCAAAAGTGATCATATTATAAAGTTGCCAGATATGAGCTGTTGTGCACAGCTTACCAAAGATTCTCCAATGTAGTTCATTTTCCCTTCATAAAACCTCGAGGAATAGCAATAGATATATATTAATAACATAAAAGTTAAGTGACAGGAACCATTTGCTACTGCAAATTGCCAATTGTATATTCGAAGAGAGACAAATGATAGAAAATAAGATTTAGCAGGACAGAATAAATAATCGCATATTAGGGAGAAGAATGAAATAATATTTGGGGAATTTAAGGAACAATAAAGATATCTAATAATACTAACACAAAAAATCACCAGTGGTTTGATGGTAAAAGAGTGAAAAAGTTAACATGAGTTCTTCTATACATTAATAGGGGTGGTTACCAAGATTTACCCGATTTTAACTTTAGTCTCAGAAACACAAACGTACGGATACTATTTAATTCATTAATATTTAATTCCCGTAGGGAACATATTTAAGTTAATGTTCTAATCCACAGTTGAAAAATACATCTATATGACATAAACAAAAACTAGCTTGCTGCTTTTTCTTTTTATAAGATAGAGAATCATCATTGCTCTTAATTTTTAATGCTTTTTTTTTTTTTTTTTAAATCCATGATTGGCGTTCTTGCTCTGAATCAGGAACAATAAAAAGGCCCCAAGAATTGCACCCTGCATCTGGACATAACTTTTTCTTAAAGAGAGAGAGAGAGAGAGAGATTCCTAGTATATCTCAATGTTATCATCCTAGCCGCTACTGGGTTCTGTATCTCATTCTTCATTAACATAAGATGAGAATTTGAATATGTTAAAGTACATCAAAGGCCAATCTGAGAGCTGATATAGAATCTTGCGTTCTTCCTCCATAGCTCCACAGGTACATGTTACATAGTTTTTGTTCAATTGTATGCTTTTAAGTAATTTACCTACACAAACTATATGCACAGTGCAAATAAAGACCACACACATGCATAAGATAATCAAAACGATAATAGCGAGGGATCAGATCGCATTAGGGAAGGAACTATAAGCTTTTACAGATTACAGTATACAATTAAATTGACCATAAATTCTCTTATATATATGTAGATGTCCTGATTTCTATAAAACTCAGATAAGTTTGCTATGTGAAAATTATATATATATAATATAATATAAAATTGAAATTTATTTATGATGATAGTCTATTTGAGTTGTCAACGTAGACAGCTAGCTAGCTGGTGGCTACTAGCAGAAGTGCAAAACCTTCAACTAAGTTTTGAAATCCTCTTATCTCATACCATGATGTCATGTGGTTGATGAAACTATGAAACCTAATTATTATTATTATTTAAAAAATCTATACAATATCTTCTTCATCCAACTCTAGCCTCAAACTCCACTACATGATCCATGTTTGACTGGTAATATGTAGCATTAATTTTAATTGATAATGATAGGATACAAGCGTAAACAACAAAAAAACATGTCCTTTGACAAGAAAACAATAATGGTTCTTGTTGGAACACAGAGAAACGAATAGAAGAACAGGTAAACAAACGTATCAATCACCATGGATTTATTCATGAACTCAGCTTATGATATGGGAAGATGACAAGAAGACATTGAGATATATAATGAAGGAAGATCGAGTTATATTTGCGTACTCTTGTTCAAATCTTAAGTTCTTAACCACGTATATACATTGCTTTAAGATCTGTAAAAGGTTGGAAAGTTTCAGAAATAA